ACTTCGTAGCAAAATCAACAAACACTACATTCGGAAAGCCGGTGAGGATCGACGTCTGCTTCTATCTCCAGGCGACCCTCAGCAGTGGCTGCCCCTAGTTGATCAGGCTGAATATCTTGGCATCATTGTGTCGTATCAGAATTTTGAGGCACAATCGGTCAGGCATCGAGTGGCCAAAGCCAGCTCCAGACGATGGGCGTTGGCCCCGATTCTCCACTCGAGACGGTTGTCCCCGAGATACAAGCTCAATATTTGGAGGTCCTGTGTGCAAACCTCCATGACGTATGGGCTACATTGCATGGCGCTTAGCCCGGCTCTACATCAGGAGCTGCAGCAGAATGCCATGAAACACATCAGGGCTATCACGTCGGATCGGGCACATGTTACTGGTCACACACATGAGGAGATCCTGCAAAAGTACCAGATCCCCACTGTTAAGGAAGTTCTTGCTCAGGCACATGAGAGAGAGCGACAGCAGGGGATTGTGTCCGGGGATTGGATGTACTCCGGTATGTGGCATGATTGCATCGAAGCGAGTCTTCAGCAGTCCCATCTCGACGTGGATTCGGAGGCTGCCGACGAGGATGTGAGGGAGGATGCGAGTAAAGTGTGGCAGTGCCCTCTTTGTGAGCAACAGTTCCAGACTATTGCTGCTCTTAAGATACATGCACAGCGAAGTCATGACAAGCGGGATACCACCGAGCACGACTTTGATAAAGCCACACATGCATTACATGGGCTACCGATTTGCAGGTTTTGTCGCAAGTCCTTCTCTCGGTGGCAGACACTTGCTAATCACATCAAGTTTGATGCCTGTTCGGTCAAAAGAAGTGAGGAGCCTAAGCCTGCCAACCAATCATCACCGAGAGTGGAACAAGAGACGGAGCAGCCAGAGATGGAACAACCACCGGAGCACAAGGATGCTCCCTCCTTGATTTTAGCACAACAGTCGGAGGTGATTCAAGCAGCGGAGAAAGGACTCCGGCACTTCATTCAAATTCCGATGCTGACGAGGAAATTCAGCCAAACCTGCACACTCTGTGGACAATGGATAGCATCGCATCGCACCATGAAGCTTCACTTTCAGCAGTCCCATGCTGAGCTTGTGCAACAACACAGCAAAGCGGTACAGCGGATCATTTCTCAGTGTGCCACACCATGCCTTCAATGTCATTACTGTGGTGGTCACTATAAAGATTGGCGGGGACACATGCATAAATGTACGGTCATTTGGCAAGCAGCCCTCCTGTGCAGTTTATCTCAACAACATGGCGTTTGCAGGGGACGAGGAGATGGATCAGTTCTTCGGGTCAGTGTCACCGCCAGCGTCCGAGAGCCTGAGCAGCACCACGGACACTCCACAGGGCAAGCGTCGCCGAGAGTTTCAGACACCGGGACCACGGGGACACGGAGGCCAGGGTGGGAGCTGGTACGGGGGACACAGCCGAGACAACGGTCCCTTGGTTCCTACTTTAGCAAAGCTAGCTATCAAACTGGACGAAGAGATTCGAATCATAAAACAAAACACGGCAATTGTGATGTGGATGAAGCCGGGGGCAGAATCAGTGCTGCAGCATCTCTACAGCACGGCTGTGGAGTTCAAGAAGCAGCAGAAGGACAACCCCAAGTTCAGCCTGGCTCATGTTCCTCTTCGCTCAGTGTTGGCTTTGGCGTTGTTCAGGGAATTGGGGGTGCGTTTGGAGCGTGTGCTAAAGACTCCGGAGTTGATGAAGAACGCGGAGGCCCGGGGATGGCGAGATCAAGGTGGGTGGAAGTTCCAAGTGTGGAATGCCCAGCTACGTCACCTCGAGGTGGACAAGGAAAAGCCAACGGTGCCAGACGGGCAGATGCAGCTAGTCATTCAGCAGATTGTGGAGTGCCTCAAGCAGCCAGTGATAGATCAATTTCATTGCACCCGAAGGATGACGGAGGCAATGGACTCCCAGGCCACCTTCCTCATGAGCATTTCTGTCAGGTCGGAGGCGGCGGCGAAGTTGTGGAGTCTGCTTTTGGATCTACAGGGCAGCTGTGTCCTGCAGCTGATCGGGGTGGCCTACAAGAGGGAAGGCCTTCGGCCGTCTCCGTGGGCGCTTCGCCTGCGGGAGCTCACCCATCGTTGAGGCTTCATCTGATCAACACAGGCAACACATGTTATATGCATGCCATGGTTCAGGTGCTGGCTTGGTTGGCAGATGTTTACAATGCTCCCATGGAGGTGGCGCTCACCTCAAGGGTTGCAGTGGTGATCAATCAATTTTACAAACAGGTTGATGCACCTACTCGCCTCATGCAGGACATTGGCTGGAGGATGCTGATTCAAGGGTGGAGGCATGATGGTCAACAACAGGATGTTGGTGAGTTTTTCACATTCTTGACAAGCAGGTATGATCTTCATATGCTACAAGGGGAATGGCAAGCAAGGACGTTGCCGGAACGGGGTATGTGTCGCTGCATGGACCGTGGGCCGTGTTCTCAGCCCATACTTCTGCATTTCTGCGATGCACCTCCTGGGCTTCGCGCTGATCTCAGGGTGTCGGACATGCTACGCTTTTGGCACTTGGGGCAAAACAACCTGGTCCTGGGCCTACATGTTGCACCACCAATTCTGTGCTTCCAGCTTTGCCGTTTTCAGGTGCGGGGTGGACTCATCACTAAAAATCAGACGGCGGTTGACATCGATGATACATTGTATGTTCCACAGTTCCAAGGCAGAAATGAAGCAGTGGCTCATCTTCGACATGAGTTCAAGGCCTGCATTGTGCATCATGGGCCAAGCCTTCGATGTGGACATTACACCACACTGTTGAAGCAGGCTGGAGTGAGCTGGCTTTGTGATGATGGCCGCCGAGCCCGAAAGGGGTCCTCACGTCTTACGAGGGCTCAACAGTGCAATTGTTATCTTCTGGTTTATAGCCTTATGGCTGACACCAATCATGCTTAGGCTCCTTGGGGCGGTGGTTGGTGGTAGATTGTCGTGAGTCAGCAAACGCTGAGCGCAATGCGCCTGGTGAAACGCCAGCTCGAATGACCTGTCGCTTGGCGCGGATCTCCCTCGCTGCGAGTGAACTGAACTGAACTACTACTACCACTAATTCTGCGACCCTTACACACACTCCTACTCCTACTCAGACGAGCACGGCAAGAAACAGCAATACCAGTACTAATCACTACGAATACTGCTAATTTTACGAATATGAAAACGGAGCAGACTTGGATGTGGATACATGGAAACCGATAGGAACAAGGATAGCAAAATGAATACGAAATGGTATTACGTCGGACTATGACTGACGAAGACCAAATCTACGACTAAGATTAAGACTAAAATTGAGACTAAAAGTACGACTAAGACTAAGACTATTTCTGATGATATGTGCAATGCCAATGCTGACACCAACACCAACATGAACACCAATTGTAATGCTAATACTCTAACACTGTGAGGCACCATGAATACTAATACAAACACAAATGTTATTCATGCAAGCGCTAATACCAGTGCTAATTCTACAGGTAGTGCTAATGCTAGCAATACTACTAATACGTGGACTGATGATAATGCTCGTGCTACAACTAATGCGAACACTACTGCTGTACATCAATGTATACTTGTTCACGTACATATGTACATGCACAAACATTTACCACAAACATATACCTGTGAGTATACGTACATGTACACATCTACATGGCATGGACATGTCTCTTTGTCTCTCTCTCTCTCTGTCCCCCTCTCTCTCTCTCTCTGTCTGTCTGTCTGTCTGTGTGTCTGTGTCTCTCTCT